CTATTAAAACAGACATTTCTTGCTAATAAAATTCAATTAGCATGTCAGCCTTGACTTCAGGCACATTTTAAAGGAAGTGTCAATTTAATAATCACTCTTCAGTTTGAAATGCCATCCCTACTCTGATTACAAGTAAACTCTTTAACAACTATAATTAGGAGAGTTTGGAGAAAGGAAGTTAGTTTGCATGTATTTAATTCTGTTTTGCAGCACCGTGTGTAGTCCAGTTATTCCTTTTGCTACATGTATACACACTCCTGCCAGCCCTGCATTTCCCCCACTTAAACTAGTGATTAAATCAGTGGGGTCATAGTTCAAGAGTGAAAAGGTTTATGGCAATACAAATATTAACAACTACCAGAAAGAGCATTACCGGGCTGGATCAGTGTAAGCTGGTGACAGCACATGAGTGCTTGGGGAAATGCAGCTGGACAGGAGAGAGATTAATGCAGAGAAACACTCACCATTCTAATGCCTGTACACGTCTTCACCCGGAGGTGTGAGGAAGGTTAGGAAACAGCTCTACTGGAAATAGTAAAATTCTCAAAGAAGGAGGAAAAGGTGAGTAAATAGGGTGCTCAGGCCCAGAGGACAAGAGAAAATTCAGACTGTGTAACATTAGTGGCGATGGCAACTCTCAGAAGAGACTTGTGGTCTCTTATATGCTCTATACACTTGTAAAGCTCTTTGTACCAATAAAGTTGTAGGGAAGCAGGAACCAGAAGTAAGATACGTGTCTCAGTACATCAGCAATGTGGCCTTCACTGAAGGAGGAAGTCATCTCGGTATCCTGAACATACTGTCAAAATATGAATTACCAGCCTTTTGCCTCACTAAGTCACTCAAACTTAGGGATTGTCTTCAGCAAAAGCATTTGTCAGTAAAATCTTAATGTTCCCATGCTTTGGATAAAATTTTAACATTTACCTGCTGAAACAAACTGGCAAGACTGAGAGTCCTAAATGAGCAGGTTCCAGAGGGAACTGCCCTGACTGCTACTTTCCTGCCTTATGGGCTTTTACCTCTAATGTGGCCTTGGTGTGATGAAGGAATGTCAATGCTGGGTCTAAGTGCAGAATGGCAGAAGTCCCCATGGAAGGGACTTTTTGAAAAAGGACAATTTTGCTAGCCTAAGTGGGTACAGGTTTGGGAATGCTCTGCCTGTGACATCTTTGCTGAGAATAAATAAGCTATATACTTAAGGCAGGCTAACATCAGCAATGACAGATTCCACATTATGGCCAAAAGGCCACAACTTCATTAATATGATGCCTAAAGGCACCCTCCTGAAAGCTGTGGAAAGAGGAGGAAATGACAATAGCCTACAGCACTCATCAGCCTCTCCTCCCTTTCTGGCACAGCAGAACAAGACACAGTGCAGCAGGCCAGAGAAGCCCTGCCAAACCGGGTGAGATTGCCTAATCCTAACTCCCTGCTTCCTGCAGCTCACTGCAGCAGGAAACCAAATTCCTTCTCATCTGCCAGTGGTTCTGCCCTCTGTTTCCAAGGCCAGGATCATCCCCTAGCTGTGTAAAGTCACACCTCAGCTAGGCTATCAGCAGCCGATGTGAGCCGGGGGATGAGTACAGCAGTGGTATGGGGATGGGAAGCTGTGAAGCAGTTACTGTGGGCTGTGACCAGGTGCCTGCTACCACCAGCAGCACAAGTGAGAGATTAAGCAGGACCTTTCTTTTACTGTTAGCCCATTCTTCCATTCTCGTATTGGATGTGTCTCTAAAGTAAACCACGGTGCAGCCTTTCACTGCCACAGGTGAAAACCAATGCTATCCACAGCAGCATCCCAACCTAAATTTACAGCAACTAATGCAGGAAAGACAGCTCATGCACATGCAAGAAAGCAGTATGATTCAACACAATTTTTTTCCCATCATAAGTAAATACACAAGGAATCATTTCACATATTTATCTCTGTTCATGACCGATATTCTTTCTGACATGTCTCAATCTTTGAGGTCATCAAGGGCTTGTTGAAATCTAGTGATGCGGAAGTTTGTTCCAGGCTGATGTGTTCACAAATTAATACTTGGGGTCTTGAGGTTTAACTCCAGCTGAGGGAAGCTATCCCCCCTGCAGTCAGTGCAGAGGGACCAGCCCCTCTGAAGGGAACTTCAGAGCTGAGACCCAATGTTAAACATTCAAAATCCCCCATGGAAGACTTTTTCCTCTCCTTTGGCTACGAGAGAGACTCCAGAGACTCATCTCATGAGACTGAGGTTGATTTTTGGGACTGCTCTCCTCTTACTACATGTACTATTAAACAGAAATACCAAGAGCAATCCTGGGGGCAGCTGAGAAGCTACTGAATGTGAATTTGCACTACACAATATTACTGATGAAAAACATGTAGCACGTGCATGACTGGAGCCACCTGACTCCTCAGTGCCTGCAGTGATCAAAGGAAAGTGACGCGTCATCTCCACGTCCCCGGTGGAAAGTGCCAGTGCCCCTCACATGAGCTGTGTATGGAGTCTGTTCTGTTTGCAATGAAAAACTAAGAAAAATGCAACATCTAAACTCTTGGAGGGAAGGCCAGTAATGTAACAAAACTTCCATAATGAGATATGCTCCCGATAGTGGAGACACACAGACTTGGCAGGACCTGCCTCCTTTAAACAAGTTCACTCATGCACAGTTTGGCACTGTGTCCTGTGCTGAAGTCACACAATTCTCATGGGACTAGTGGCATCCCCAAGGGAAGATGTACCTTTCCAGGCATGGGGTAAAAAGAGAGACTGTGGAGTCTACAGAAATGTATAGTAGTAATAACAGACCGGGAAAAGTAAATGAAGAGTAAGCACTGTTTTCTGGTAGCTTTGCTAAGACTGAGGAGGGATGGACTGCTGGAACCAAGGCAGTATGAAGCAGAGCGTTCTTTCAAGGGAAAGAGGAGAGCTGCACAGCTCTTGTCCTACCGGAACTGGTCAGATAGTATGTGCAATTGGGAGGCTGTGGTAAGGCACAATCTAAAATCCTGCCTCTTGCAGCTTTTACCTGTTATGTATTGCTCAATTCACTGGCTCATCAGGTGCCTGTGAGAGAGGCAGGATGAGTGCCTGAGCTGATTTCCTCAGAGGTCTCTCCTGGCCCTGCCTGGTGAGTGCTATATTCCTGTTTCTTCGTCCTTTTCTTGTGATCCCACACCAGTTTGAATGGCTGCTGCTCTTACTGAAGCATTAAAACTTAGCCATTGCCCCCTGCTTTATGAACCTCAAGTGAAATATTAAAATACCTTTCAGTGGCTTATAAATAACGTGCCACGACTCCCACAGGTAGGAAGAGCAGCACAGTCCATGCTCCATTACCAGAGCTAAAAGCCTCCCTGATGCAGAAGAAACTCAGGAGCATGGGGTACAAATGTTGCAGTGATTTTAGCATTGGCTCATCTTGGGTCCAAGAAATACTTTTTGTACTGTTTGAGCACTGCTCCTGGACCTGCAACAGCTCTCACATCTCTACTTGCTCCCACTGGGTTGCACTTAAACTTCAAGCTCCCTAGGAGGTGTAGGGAGGTGATGCTGAGATTTGAGCAGGCTCTGAGCCTTCCCCATTCTCTGAGCGCGGGGCTGGGGCCCATTTCAAGCCAAGTTAGAAAACTGAGCTAAAGACATGAGCTGCCTCTGTATCATGGTTGTTCCCCTTACCAGAGGCAAAGCATGAAGGCACACAATCAGTCCATGCCAAAAGCCAGCAGCAGGGCCAGTTTATCAGCTCAGACTTTGATCTCTGTGAAAGCAGCCGTATCCGCCCTCTTGACCTAAGCTTGTCCCAGGAGCATGTTGTTGGTTCGGCAGAATGTGGGGTGTCCGTATCACCAGGCTGGTGGTGATGCCCTCTGCAGCTCAGGCTATTTGACCAGAGGTAATTGAAAGCTGCCTGAATGTGGTCATGTAATGACAGACTGTACCACAACACACATGTGCAAGGATGACAAGTTAAGGTCAAGCAGGCAAACTTAGGCTAATGTTTCCAAAGTGGGGAATGCCTGCATTTGCATCTGTCTGGTTCTCCTTTTATGGTAGCTCCTTCAGTGGTATTTACAACCAATAATTTAGAGTTTATGTTCAGATTTCACACCTGCTCGTTAGGCACGTTCACCTTTCAGAAGTGCATGTATGCAAGCTGAGTAGTCTTGTGTCAGAAGCAGTGCTCCTTGTCTGACCGAAACCCAGCTTTTCTCTCCTTAGAAGCCCGGTGACCAAGTGCATCCGCCTGACTTAAGGGAGCGCAACATCCTCTGCGGTGCAACATCCTCCGCGGTGCCCCAAGGGCACCGGCCTCCCGCAGTGTTCGGGCTTGGCTGACCAGGGTTCCCTTTTGCCCCTGGCGACAGCTTTTCCTTGTGCTTCTTCTTCTCCGCACCTGAGCAGTGCTCCTGCCGGAGGGGAGGCAGGCCGAGCCGGGGGGCGTAGAGGAAGAGTCTCCCCGGCGCAGCGATCCCCAGCCGACCCGGGCCGCCGGTGCCTCCCGGCGCCCGCACCCCGGGACGGCGCTCCCGCGCTGGGCCCCGCAGCGCCTCCCCGTGGCGGCGGACGTTCGGCACCGCCCCGGTCCCGGCGCCCGCCCCCGCCCCGCCGCTCTCCCGGGCGGGAGGCTCGGCGACTCGCTCCTCCTCGCGGCCGCAGGATTCCTCTCTCCGGGCTTTCGGGCTGCCCCTTCACACCCGCCGCCGGAGCGGGACGGCGTGCGAGCGAGAGAGCGAGCGAGCGAGGCGGCGCGGATGCGCCCCGGCTCCCCGCGGCGGCGGCGGCAGCAGAGGCAGCGGCAGCGGCGGATGCTCGGCGGCGCGGCGGCCGCTCCGCAGCCCAGGAGCCCCACGCAGGGGGATAGCGAGGCGATGAGCCGCCCGCCGGCGGCCGCCCGCGAGTGACGGCGGCGGGGCAAGGAGCGGCAGCGGCCAGGAGGAAGAGGAGGAGGAGGAGGGCAGCGATCCCTGCCAGTGCCCGCGGGAGCCCGGGAGAGCCCCGGCCGAGGGCTCGGCCATGCCCTTCGCCAAGCGGACCGTGGAGCCTCAGCGGCTGTGCCGGCGGCAGCCCGCCGCCTCTGTGCTGGAGGAGAGCTGGGTCGCGGAGCCGCCGCCGCGGGACCCGCCGCCGGAGGAGCCGGGGACGGCGGGCGAGGGCACCGAGGCGGCCGGCGGCGGGGAGAGGGAAGCGGCGGCGGTGCTGATGGTGCTGGACCTCTGCTCGGTCAGCAACGTAGCCCTGTCGCGGATCCTCCGACAGCTCTCCGACGTGGCCCGGCACGCCTGCACCCTTTTCCAGGAGGTCGAGGCTGACATCCAGGGCACTCACCGCCGCGTACGGGCGCTGCACGGCCGCATCGCCGGCCTCCAGGGAGCTGTGCGCGGCCTCGACCCCAAGCAGGAGGCAGTGCGTAAGTACCACGGAATGCGAGATGGATGGGGAGCACCGCGGGATGGATTGGGCGCACCGCAGGATGGATGGGGCGCACCGCAGCTCGGGGCACCTGGCGGGGAAAGCCAACCCCGGGCAAATCGCCGTGCAAAGTTTGGGGCCAAAGTCGGTGGGAAGGGAATCTCGGCGGGGCAGCGGAGTGGGAAGGGGCCGGGCCAGGCGGGCGCGGATCGGGTCGGGTCGGTGGGCGCCGCTGGGCGCCGCGGCGATGCCGGCGGGAGGGATGATGTCAGTGGTTTGTGCCTTACGTAAGGAGCTGGCTGGCGGGGCTCTCGGGGCGCATCTTTTGCAGCCAAGGGTTTGGCCTGGGAGAGGGACGACGTCTGTCTGCGGGGCGCCGCGGGTGATGGGATGTGGATGATCCGCCGCACCCGGGCATCTTTGGATTTTATCCCTTTGCCGGCCTGTCCCCGAGAGATGTCTTTCCCGTAGAAGTGACTCTGACTTCCCGATTGAAATTTTAAGGTCTTAAGTAGAAATAATAAAGCTGCTTCGTCGTTACCCAACTTTCGGGGCCATAAAATAAGGAAGTTTAACTAATGACATCTTTCTGTTTAAAGAGTGGCTTGAGGAGCCGGGCGGGAGGAGAAAGGGGGGGGGAAGGGAGGAGGGGAAGGAGAAAGATCAAGGCAATATGCGACTTGTGTTATGAGGAGTGATTGAATCCTGTTTCTTTTCCACCCAAACTATAAAAGCGGTGACAGGCTCCGTAGTCCTAACAGCTGCTGATTTCTGCTGAATATGGCTCGTGTTCACAGAAATGTAGTGATTTTGTACTCTCATTGATGTGTGTGCTTCCCAAGACTTGTGGATATGTATTTTTTGTTAGGTAGGGCTGTGGATTGGAAGTCTGGAATAGCAGAGATTGATGTCGATTCTGACCTGTTATTATCTGATTTAGGAAAAACAATGGCTTAAAAGGGGAATTTGGCTTAGTTTTTACCTCCTGCTGTACCTCTTTAAATCCTGAATACCTCTGCTGAGTACAGCAAAGTGAGTTTACACTGGGGTAAATGAGACTATTCCTCTTCTAGGTGTTTTTAATGAATGTGCGATTTAAAAAATGTGTTCTGGATTTCCTCCCCTTTGGAGTGGTATGGAATATAAGCAACTCTTCTAGGATCAATGAAGCTTGATTAATGGAATCAAGTCTTAAGTATTCAACGGTATTTAAGCTACATACTCGGCAGCTCTGGTGTGACTTTACTGGTGATATATTAATATACATCAACTGTAAATGAGACCAAGAGAGACTTTCTGTGGTTTCAGGATGAGTGTGTAATCAGAGCAGAGTGCTGGGCTGTGATTGGAAATTGCGGTGAGAAGGAGGCTTGGCTGAGCTAGTGAGGGAACTGTCTGAGGAAATGAAACTCCTCATATCACATTCTCATCTGTAGGTCTTTTGAGCTGAGTAACTGCGGGTATATACTAATGTAAGTGAGAGCAGAGCTTAGCCGTTCTAATCCGTACGGCTTTCTTCTTTCTGGATTGTGCAAGTGCAGCTTGTTTGCAAATCACAGAGCAAAATCTTGATATTACAGCACAGTTATGTCATCTGCTTAATTAGAGAGTCTGGCTTTATCCCTGTGATGATAAATGCAGAATCCGTTTCTTTGGTGTTCTGTTTTCTTTTAAATCCTTCTCTCCTTAGAAGGGGAGAGACTTTTGGTCATGATCTTCCCTGTGTCTGCCAGCTGTTCCTCTCCCCCTTGTATACAGCACAGTGCCACTGATACAGCTGCAGATGTCCCCCGCTCTGGTCAGCCAAAGGATCCTCCACAATGTCGGGGCTTTGCTGCCACCCATCCTCCAGTAGGAGTGTATCTTGCCTCCAGCTATACAGCTGCTTGCAGGCACATCCCCCAGTCCTCACCACTTCTTTCCTTGCAGCGCTGTACCACATTTCTTTAAAGGTGAAAGTCACACCAAACTGCATGAGCGGTCAACTTCTTTGCATGCTCTGGCTGCTTTTATTCCCCATCCAGTGCTGGACCAGCAGAGCTGCATTTGCATAGTACTACATCTGAACATCTCAACTGAGCTGAACAGCTCCATTCTGTACATCACCTCCTCACATACCCCAAGTCCGTATACATACACCTACAGCAATGCCTCCCTTTGGCCCCTAGGCTGCTCACTGTTTCCAAGGGATAGATAAAACTACCTCGCAGGAAACTGCCCATCCTTGCTGTAGTGAATGATAGTGTGCTTTGTCCTTTCTGGGCTGACGCCTCCTTCTTCATTATTACTTTCAGCAAGACTAATGCTAATGTTTGTTTCATGCATGAGGTGCCTACACAATTCACTCCTGAAAGTATTACGCTCAAGTTACTGCACCCAGTTGTTTTTTTGAAACCAAGAGAGCAATTGTGGGTGGTCACAGGTCTGCCCAGGACTTAACCAGAATCACATTAAGGCATACTGACTTCTACCTCCTGTGGCAAACATGGGAATGATGGGATAGCCTCAGGGGTCAGTCATTTGGCTGTCCAGCCCAAATGACACATCTGAGAATAATTCAGAACTGGATGGAGGTTTGGACTGACAACCACAAGGAACAAATTGGTGACGGGCAAGCAGCCACTGCACCTGTGGCATCACTGTAATGGTTGCATTGAGCTTACTGCATACCAGGAGTCTGGAGGGGCTGGGATGCTTGATGCATTGGCCAAGACACCATGTACCGGGATGTTAACACTATGACAGTACAGCCCAACCACACGTTTTCTAAGTATTCAGTTTAAAACTACTAGGATATCTTGCTGCAGTGAGACATTCTTAATGTTCCAACTTCAAGTGCAGCACAGTGATTTGAGAATAATGCTATCAGACATGTCCTAGATACTGAGCGGTGACAGTGGAAGGCCTTTTTCTCCATGCCTCATAAGCCAGCTCGATTCTGAGATTCGCTTGTGAAGGCACAGGCTGGGTGAGGAAAAGGAAATAATGGGCTAATGCCATCTCCAGAGCTACTGGAACCAGTGGTTAGAGGGGCATTCCTTGCCCAGAATGCCATTCCTTGGCAATCGGAGAGGTGATACTGAGGGGAAGTGGAGCAGGAAAGGAGCTCTCTTGAATAGCATATAATACAATTTTGCATAATAATGTATTTTATATTGAAAATTATATATTATGGTATTAAAATAAAACATCTATGTTGGATTCAGGAAATATTAACAAAGAATTAAAATTAATTACAACTGGGATTTTCTCAGTAATGCTTATCACTACTGCTGTCCTTTTCACGAGGCCTTAACATTCTCAGCTCTATTGCTATTGCGGTGGTGGACATTTACAAGAAGGTGTATACTTTGCATTAAGAAAAGTACTTAAACTCCTGCTGAGCTAAGGGTAAGGGTGTTTACCTATGTGTTGCCCTTTTGGTTTTGCCACTGTTCAGAAAGTGGGATTGGAAAATCTCATTAGGAGCAATAAAGGACTTATTCTGGGCTGTCATAAGCAGGTCATCTTCAAAAACTCAAGGTCCCTTGCCTCTGCCTCCCCAGATGCTGTTTGTCCTTTCATCTTTCTTTTAAGCCTCTGGCCAGCTAGCATCTTGCAAATATGAATCCTTTCCCACCCTCTGACCGGAAAAGAAACAAGGGTGAGAAATGTTTTCCTGTTCAGCTCCTGAACTAACTACTTTGCCCTTCTGTCACTCCAAGTACTTTACTGCTTTTCATCATGAGCAGCTCCAGAGTCTACTTCTAAAACAGAACCATGTGGGAATAACATGATTGTTGTCAGTCTGAGTGTTGCTTAGGGTTTTCTTGTTGCCAGCAAGAGAACTGAGCAGTGTGGTACTGCCCAGTTTTATTATTAGATGCTTGATTATCTTGGTAGTACAGAAAGGTAGGAGAAGTGCTGGACTTGGTGCCTCCATTATTTGGAAAGATGATTTCTCAGTCTAGGGGACTACAGATCTGGCAGTTTAAGTGGAATATTGTACTTTTCAGAAACTGATGATGTAAGCCATCTTGCTTTCTGAATAATCGGCATCGACTGGGCAGCAGATTTTGAAAGCCCTAGCTAATGAGATCCTTTTTGCACCCTGGCATCCCGGAGAATTCCACACATTCCAGACTTTTTTTCTGAAAGCATCAACGTGTTACCAGTAGCCAATCTTTCTAAAAGCTGTATCGTTTCCAGCAGTTGCCTGCTGTATCTTCATTGCTCCATTTTTCCATTCCTGATTTTCCTATGTGCTAGCAGTTAGTGATGCAGCTGCTTAGAAGTGTGGGGATCTCCCGTGTTACTCTGCTCTTCAGAGGCCCCTGGATCTCTACAGTGAGCTCCCCTATAGGTTTTTCTTCTTTCCTGAAGTGTCAGTATTGAGATAAAAAAGACAATTCTGTACTGACTCTTTATCATTTTAGGCTCTGCATTAATTTATTCTGCTTGATTGAAGTTGGTTACTGAGAACAGCCTGGCTAGTTTCACTCTTGCTTTTAGTCTCTTTCATTGTGCTTTTTAGGTGGGGTTTTTTGATTTTGTTTGGTTTGGGGTTTTTGTTAGTGTGGTTGTTTTTTTTATTTTATTTTTAACCACACTGATATAATGCTCTTCTGTTTGGGTTTTAAGCACTGCAGGGAAATGTTTAATCCATTATAAGGTTTTAATATGTTTTCTGCCATGATCCTACCATTTTTACAAAACATATATTGGACCCAAAGCTTGTCAGATAATGCATCTCCTCCCCCTTGACTTAATGAGCTGAAGTCTCAATTGCTGTTGAAATGGAATCAAGAAACTTTCATGCTTCCATCTCAGAATATGATTGCCTCTTAAGGCCATCCCAGGCTAAGTGTTGGTGAGCATCCTTGCAGAGATCTTCAGGTAGGTACGTAAGACCTTAAGAGTAGGTGCCATCTTGAAAGAAAAATAAAAGTGCAAGATGAGTAGATAAATATTGCATTTTATCTCAGCTTCTGAAAATCCTAGAGAATTTAAAGTGCAATT